TAGAACGAATTAATTTTAAGCAGTTACTGCAATTAAGTGAATGATAGCAAAATATAGTTTTATAAGGTCTGATGAATGATATTGGCAAGTAGTTTTTGTTTACTATTCGCAGATATATTGTTAATCCAATTAAACATTGTAACTGCATTCATCAAAGAACTGAATTGAATTAAAAAAAAAAGAACAGCAACATCCTAAGAAAAGAAATTATTAAAGATTTTCAATGTATTTTGTATTTGCTGGTTAAATAAATAAATAAATAAATAAATAAATAGGTATAATGGACAATGGCTTCATCATACGAATTTCGGTATGTTTACTTTCAATTTTTTTATATACAATTAAAAAGAAAAGAGATTTTACTTAATCAAATAAAAGAAATTAAGCAGGTTTGAATAATACCTAATTATTTGTTTACGCAAAACAAATAATTAAATGAAAAATAAAATCTGACGAACAGTTGTTTGGAATATTTTAGCAGAATTTATTAATACGTATCTGTTGTAGTTATACAAAAAAACATAATAGTTGCAAACTTAGTTTAAACGAATTCCACAAAGAACAACGGTTCGTAAGTAATAAAAAACTATGGAAGTTGTTCAACTCGGTTAATAGTGCGCTTTGACTTAATTTTTAAATTCTTATTGGATTGATACATACATATGCATGTCCGCTACAATTTTTTATTTAAGTATTTTATATAAGTTTTAATGCATCCTTTATCTAATCATTTGATGAATGCTTAGGTGCTGTTAGTCTTAGTTCATTATGCATTTACTGCGAAATAGATAGAAAAGAATAGATAAACCCATTAGTACTATTCTAATATTAGTCTATATATTTTTGTGCCTTCAAAAGAGCATACAATTACGTATAGTTCCATATAGAAATTAAATTGTTAAATGACAACTATTTTCAATTTCGATAATTTCTTTGCAATTATGTTAATTACTCATTTCAATTGAAATGTATAATTCGCATAAGCCATGAATAAGATTTTCCAACTTTTTCTTATTCTGGGGCATTCAGTCTTTTGTCCAAATTCATCAGTCTCTTTCAATTATCATGCATTTTCCTATTAGCTCCTAATGACAGCCTGCTAGGCCAATATCACACATTTAAATTGGTTTGGACTACTATAACGAACAAAATTTGTGTATCTAATTTACAAAGCTTGTTATTAGGATCCAGAAATTATGATTCATTTCTTTCGATTTAGTAAAAAAGGACTAAATTACTGTGCACAAACTTTCCATATCTATATTACAAAGCTTGTTAATAAAAGCCAGAAATTTTGACTGATTTCCTTGGTTTTCACAAAACTGTATTTTCATAAAAACACGTTACCCTAATGCAACACATTATATTGCTTATATCATACAAACATACATTGGCTTGAACAACTGCAAATTGCAATATAGTGCAGTTGCAAATTTGAAGAATAGTTTAAGCAGACCTCAAATTATGAATGTGTTTCTTCCATTTCACAAAAATAAATTTTCATCAAAACACTTGTTCACGCACGACTCCTTTTCCAGCTTCAGTCTTACTTAAAACTGGTCCGAACCACTGGAAAAGGGACGAAATTTTGCGAGTTTAAATTTGAAAATTGGTTATTAAGAATCAGAAATTATGAATCATTTAATTGGATTTTGTGAAAACACAAATTTAAATTGGCTTGAACTTTTAACCCCTGCAAAGAACGAAATATTGCACATCTAAATTAGAAAATTTGTTAATAAGGTCGAAAATTAGGAATCATATCCTTAGATTAGGAAAAAGAAAATTTTCATCAAAACGCATGTTATCGTAATAAAATTTTAAAATTTTGCACGTCCAAATTAAAATAAAAAATACATTTTCATTAAAACAATTGTCTCCTAACAATACCCTGCAGCGGTTACATCAAATACAAATCTAAATTGGCTTCAACCACTACTGTAAATCCAAATTAGAAAATTTGCAAATAAGGTCCATAAATTAGGAAGCAAAAAACATTTTCATCAAAACGCATGATATCGTGATACGATACTATGCGGCACTTATATAATATAAATTCAGATTCATTTCAACCATTGTAAAAATGAAATAAAAGTACAAGTGAATTTGATCTATAATTTTCTCAAGGACCCATTTCTAAATAATTAAGCAGTATTAAATGTAGTTTGAAAAAGTTTGTATTTGTTCACAAGACAAAATTGGAAAACATCCAAAACTAATCTGACCACAGAATGAAACTTACTCTTTTATACAAAAAAGAACATACATACATATATAAGAAATTTAAAAGCAATAACCAAGTTTTTTTAGTTTAATTTTTACTTCACGTTCATTTTAATCATTGAAGAAGCAAAATAACAATTTGTCAAAACTCAAAATCGGGTTATGATTCTGTAAATATTAACAAAATATAAACAACATACAAATGAATTCAATCCATAATTTTTACATAAAAAGGACTGGTACAAAGACATAAACCATATTAAGTAGATTTAAACTGGTTGTGATGCAACATAAAATTCAGCAGGATGTAAGGAACTAATTTTCAAAAGTAAATCCTTAAGAGGGGTGAAATGGAATTTAAAAACTTATACGTGAAAATAATATTTGACAAACCTATAGCAACTTCTATCTTCTTAGGAATATTTATTTAAGAAAACGTTTGATTAAAAACCTGTTTTTAGTATTTAATTAATTCACATCAAAGGAGATAAAATTTAATTTATAAAGAGGCAATTAAAACTTCTAAAGGCAGAATCATACAATTTGGTCAATCTTGAATCATAAGAACCTATTAAGAAAAAATTATTGCCATTTGTTTACCTGTTTACTATTTACAAATGCTCGACTTATTGTTAGTGACCTAAAGCTGTAGTTAGCAAGGTTAATATAGGTAATTAATTTGTTTAATTTTGGTTGGTGTATAATTAATTCTTTTGTTTAATTTTGTAGTATATATTTCATGTTTTGGGTAAACGTTTTGTTATTTTGTGTAAAAAGTTGAGATGTCCTTAAAATTTAATTGATGTTGCTACTTACCAATTAATTGTCATAAATCCTTCCTTTAGCAACAACACACTGCTTTCGTTTCCAGTGGGAAAAAGACACTTTTACTTAATTTAGAAGATGAAAATTAAAGTTTAGAAACGTGTATTAAAATGGATAGATAAAACATAAGGGGCGTAACATTTATTTTTCAGAAATACATTGTAAAAACATTGTTGATGTTTATTATAAATTAACATTAAATTATATACAAATGACTAACGAATAAGGAGAGATCATTATACAACATTTATTTGGAGTGTATCCTTACAATGTCATTAAGGTGACGTTAAGGAAAAATTAAATACTATTAATTAATTAACTGTAATTAAAATGAAAGTGTGCGAGGCCTAACATATTAACAACATTTTGTAAAAATTAATTAACATATGACTTCCAAAAACAGGCATTTATGAATTAATTTTAAAACACTTATATATTTAAAAAATGGTTTTGTAAGAATATTGTCAATTTAATTTTTTTGGTTTGATATAAACTTCATAATTCATAGAGACATATAGGATTCTTCACGAGTAGGAAAAATGTTTTAGAAAACTAAAAAAGTTGCTGTTAGTTTATATGGTTGTCCTTAATTAATATAACAGCAAATACAATTACATAAAGTATGCAAAAGTTTAGAAAAAAAATTAGGAATTTATTTGTCCTAGGGAGTAAAAAGATTGTCATGAATTCTATTTATAAATAAAAAGAGAAGATATCTATTGATAATTTGTTAGTTAAATCAGACATATAATACCTATACAACTGAAAATATTTAATTGTTACTGTCACATGGAAGAGATAAAGGGTAAGAAAAGTTAAAAATGTTGAGATGATTGTCGAACCGTGTCTGTATGTATATTTAACGAGAAGTAGTTATTAGGTTTAATGTCTATCTTGATTATTTACTTTAATTGTGGAGAGAATATATCCAAAATTTAGACAATTTTTTCTTAACAAAGAAGCAAAGGTACTTAATAGTTACAAGTATTTTTTATTTTAAGGGGTTTGATATTTGATACTCTTTTGGACATACAGACTTTAATTTTTTACATCACAGTAGATGTTGAAGACAGTTACCTACAGTAAAAGATGTACAAAATTGGCAAGAAACCAACATTACCTTACTATATTTACAAACTTTACACGAAGTACTTTCTTTAAACATTAATTATCACAATGATTTTCTAACTATTAAATACATACATTGATATAGATACATATAAAACTTCTGGTCTGAAATTGGTGTTTTACTTTATAACGTGCAATTATACTGAGAAAAAATACATGAACAATTATTGCATGAACAATACGCACATACTTAGGTAAGTAATTAATAAATTTATTTAGGTACTTATTGAATGTTACTTGTTGAAAAAACAAAAATATTTCTATTATTATTATTATTAATTGATAAAAAAAAGCTAGTAGAATTAACATCCTAATGTTTATGTCTCACTTTAAGGTGTGAATTTTTAATTACTTATTTATTATTAACAATTATTTTTATTAATATGGGTAAATTTACGCTAAATTTACATCGTTCTGTGAGAACTATTTTAATACTTAATTAGTTCGTGCAATTATCATTCAATACTAACCGTGCTGTATGTATTTTATGAAATGTTTTAGAACTATATTGCTCTACAACTTGGGTGCGTTTAATACTTTAAATATTTAAAAATATGTTTAAAAATTGAACGGTAACAATTTAAAGATTATGAAATTTTTTGACTTACAATCTATATACCAATTTAATACTGTCAATTACGTTTCTAAGTTAATCTTGTACGTTTGTACTTTACGTAATCTTGTATTAAAAATTCGGCAGACAGAACAAAAGTGTATCAAGAGTGCGTTGTACAGAAAACTTTTCACGAACAGGGTCACATTTTTATCTGCCAATTTTAAAGAAATTAGATCATAAACTACTTACTACAAGAAAGTAAAAATACCTCAGACTTAAAAAAATTGCTCCACACATGAAAGACTAGAATCAGTTAGTTATATTTTATAGGGACGTTTTCTCAAGTTATATTACGTTACTAAGATCTTCTGGGCTCAAGCTTTTGAGACATTCCGGTTAAAATCCTCTGATTGTCTATTACCCTTAAGCAGGATATGTAGGATTTGACATCACCTTCGCTCTTTGGAGACGGCGGCTCAAGAACTACAGTAATAATTCAATACTTACCAAATTGCTTAATTATGAAATGAATTTAAAATAAACGGTGTGACAACAGCAACAAATTTTTCTTCAATAAAGGGGGTAATTTGTAGTGGATCACAAGTAAAAAAAAATTTGAAATGATAAATCTCTAATTTATAACGGTAGCCATTCTTTGGAATTTGTAAAGATTTTTGGCTGTATGTATGTATCGACTTTAATTTTGGTTTCATATGTATGAACGAATTTGCTTACCTAAATGCCTGCTCCTGCAGAATCTGATAGTCCTTAGTGTTTGTGCTAACATGTGCATCTTTTCGAAATTAACAAGTCCATCCAAACTGGTCTTATTGCCTTCGTGTGTAAATGTCATATCCTTTAAGAGCAAAGGCATGAAGGGCACTATGGGAGGCTGGAGTTTACTGACGCTAAGTCTATAAGCCCGGTGGTTTCTGCTTGGGTCAATCAGAGATTCAAATTCTGTATAAAGTTTTCTGAACTTCGATGGCAACTTTTCCCATGTTTGTGATAATCGTGAAATAGCCATATTACTTAAGCCCATTATTATTGCACAAAACGCATTTAGATTTTGATAGTCTTTACAACTGAAAATAATGTTATCACTTATTTAAAAATAATTTATTTGTAGAGCAACCCTTTGCCCATAGTTTATTAATTTTAATTTAAATTTATTTAATCTTAATCTC